GAGTTCAATGTCATACGAGTATACTCGTATATCTATAGAAACAGCTCTAAAAAAAAGCTCAATTCATTACTCTGCGGACCAAAACCAAATTTTCATATTGTTTCGTGTGCCACACCGTAACACTTGTTCCTTGCTATGGAATTTGGAAATTAATGACAGTAAATTGTATTACATTATTTGGTAATTTATTTTATCATAATTATATAATCCTTTTAACCATATAGTACAGTTACTATACTTACATCTATCCTTATTTAAACAATTCTTCACACGGTATAGTGGTTACCTTTGAGAGCTGCAATGGAATATTTTATTACCATTTCGATGTTTTACATTTCTAAGGCTAATTAACAATGTAGCCATCGACAAAAATCTCGCTGACAGACGCTTGAAAAGAAATAAGAATATTATTGCTCTTTCAGATATGCATCAAACTAAAGGCTGAATGTGGTGATGAAATGGATGATATTTATACAGGTATAATCACTATGAACAATGAATTCAAATTGTGTTTAAAATATTTTGATAAAAAATCAATATTAAAACTAGAAAATGTAATAAGAACAATTTTTTTGCCTTCTAAACCTATTTTGATTACAGTATAACAACCAAAAACCTTTTTAAATTTGTTAACTTTGTATCGTATGTTTATGTATTTGTTATTTTTTAACATATCAACACATATTTGATGCCTGTTAAAATTTTATATTTTTATTGTGGAAAAGCAAGAATATTTATTTAAATTTTATTTATATTGGCTAGTTCACAGGTTTGACTTGCCAAAATATACAACAGCTCGTTTGTCAGCCTGTGTTTACTCATCGATTCCAGTCCTAAATTGTGTATTCTGATTGACTATAGGCGTGTGTATATTAAATATCGGAAGTTTGGAAGGACTCGATTTGGTTGTTAACATATAACGTCTTAATATAAAACGTGGTTTATTAAGAAAGTCTCGGGTTTTACCCATGGTTTAAACACCACAGTCTTTGGGATATTAGACATTTGTTGTCAAATTATTTATTTTACAATTTGTTTTGTATATTTACCGCGTGACTTCTTTTTTGAAACAGTCTAGTTTAAACCAGAGACTAATTATAAACCACTTTATAATTAGCATAGATAGGCTGTCGTATATACTTATAGAATGCAAATAATAACAGTCTTAAAGTAACGTTAATTTATGCGTCCGAGTTATTAATATCCGGATCCTAAAGTCAGTCAAAGTTTACTAACAGTAGCTTATAAGAACGTCCAAGACGTCTAGTTTTAAGATATCTGTAGCTGTGAACTTTATTATTATTTTGATACGATTTCCAGTGAGATTTAGAAACGTTATTATAAAGAATATTAGGCTTGTCCGGCTCGAAGGACCAAAACTAAAAAAATAATATCTTTTTAACTATTTGATCTCAATTATGAAATTCGAGCTTTTATGATGTTTTATTTTAATGAGACATTTATTAAATGATGTCTAAAACAATCGTCCGTCTCAGCATGTAATAATGTTTCTGAATCTGATTACGAGGGTGACACTGAAACTAGCATGTTATTGGTTTTATTATATATTTTCAAAATAGTGTTTACATCAATACATCGCTGCATCCGATGGAGCCACTGAGAAAAGCACTTTGCCCACTCGTCCTTAGGGGTCTCTTCGACGGCATTTTGAAACGCAGCCACTGCTTCCTCGGCGTCCATAAAACGTTTTCCTTGAAGTTTTTCTTTTATTTTCGGAAATAAATAAAAATTGCAAGGTGAGTGGTCGGGGCTATAGGACGGGTGACCCAGTAATTCCACGTCTGACGTCGCCATGTAGTCGATTGTTTGCTTGGCGGTGTGCGACGAGGCGTTGTCGTGGTGAAGGAGGATCCTACTGCGAGGTCGTTTCTCCCGAACTTTTTCCAAGACAAGTTGCAAACAATTGTTAGTGTACCACTTTGCAGTAACTGTTTTTCGATCCTCTAAAACAATTGTTGCGTAATGACCTGTCCTTCCAAAGAACGAGGCCACCATCTTTTTTCCCACGCTTCGACTCTCTTCACTTTAGTTGGCAACTCCTCGGAAGGAAACACCCAGACAGCAGACTGTCTCTTAGTTTCAGGATCATAACAATAAATCCAGCTTTTGTCACCCGTAAGTATGTCGAACACAGCATTGGAGTCACCTCCGTTAAATCTTTGAACCATTTGACGACACCAATCAACACGACGGAGTTTTTGGGCCTCTGTCAAATTATGAGGTATCCACCGGGCACAAAGCTTCCTGACCGCTAAATATTCATGGAGGATTTTGTGCACTTGACTCATACCGATGCCTAAGCTTGTCCGAATCTGCTGATAAGTCACTCTTTTGTTAGTCTCTATCATACGCCGCACAACACTGATGTTATCTTCAGTCGTCGTAGAAAGCTGTCCCTTACGCAGATCACCGGTGAGATTAGTGCGACCACGTTTAAACTCATTAAACCAGTTGTAAACAGTGGCACGAGATGGGGCTTCATCGTGAAAGGCCAATCGAAGTCTATCTTAACTTGCTTGTTGACTTAAATGACATCGAAAGTCATAAAAAATCATTGTACGAAAAATTTCTCACGTTGAATTCATGCTGACGTGACATAGACAATTTTCAATTTGCCGCCAAATCGTAAACAAATTAATGAAATAGATACACAATAATATTGGCAAAGAGTTCCTTTTTCAAAATTTGAACTTATTTTTTTATAATATCGTTTACAAGTGGCCAGTTATAAAAACTTGCAGTGTCGCCCTCGTACCGCTTGCATTTATTGTTTGTTCCTTTAAAAGGGTTGGGCCATTTAATTATAATAAAAAAAATAAAAGTTGTAATGTTCCCTGCAAACATAATACTTTGTGTTATAATTATTGTATTATTTTATTAATAATATTTTATTTTTATCATCACAAGGTATGCCCTAAAGTTTTATTTTAATCGAATACAATGTTACCATGTACCATTGGCAATGATTAAAAGACTGTAATTAAAGGTAAAATATCTATATTATTATTATATTGCCTGAAAAAAAGTATAGAATCTAATTCGTACTCATGGTTTTTATTTTCATTGAATTGGATTTCGCGAAAAGCTTCGTCTGCCAAAAATTATGTATGTGATAAAAAAGAAAACATTGTAAACAGTTTCGCGTTCGTAAGGACTTATAGATTTATAACTACGACTGAAGTTTGTGATCTCTTTCATATATTGATCTCAAGTATATTATTTTAAGGAAAAGCAACATCAAAATATTGGGGTAGAGTCGTTAAAGATAAGAAAGTAATGAAACATTTCTGTGGAGAATGTAGAGTGGTTTTGGCTTTATCGCAACTTGTATTGGCTTCTAAACAATATTTATGCTTTACTAGCGATCCGCCCCGGCGTTGCACGGGTGATTTCTGGATCTCGACAACAGCGCCACCTACCGGTTAAAATTGTGAATCTAAACCATCCAGGGACCTACACACACACGCGCACACACACACGCACACACACGCGCACACACGCACACACACACGCACACACACACGCACACACACACGCACGCACACACACGCGCGCGAGCTTACACACACGCGCGCACACACACACACACACACACACACACACACACACACACACACACGCGCGCGCGCACACGCACACGCACGCACAAACACAAATTTTCATCAAAATCAGTCGAGCCGTTTTTGAGTTTTAGCGAGACTAACGGACAGCAATTGATTTTTATTTAAAGAGATAATATGTATTTAAAATAAAGTTTGTATTTGCATTTTCTAAATAGAATTTTGCGTATAGTTCTTTAATTATTGTTTTTAAATGACTGTAAATGCGCATGTTTTTTTTAAATATTTTTAAATTGAATAGAAATCGTTTAGACAGCGCCTAAAGTTGCGATAAGCATTGGATTGAAAACCACTGTAATTTACTGTATCATTTTTTAAATATTATAATGACCTTATTCGCCATGAATTAAATCTTTTGTTAACGTTTAATTTTACTAATAATTATATAACAACTGTTTGTATTGTATGCGAAACTTTTATACAAATAAAATTATTTTTAAGCTCAGTTTGTAGTAATATGTTATTTATACTTTTAAACCTATGTTTAAATCACTTTTTAAAGCTTGGCATAATGAAAAATTATTTGAGTGTTAGCCAATTATTTTGAACACCATATGTAAGCAGCAGTGCACAGAAATTTTTAAACTGAATTCACAAAGGAAGTTATAGTTCACCTGATGGTAAGTGGCTACTGTAGCCCATGGAGTTGGACACCTGCAGCCAATTTCAATCAAAGAAGGCTACAGGTGCTTTGTCACTACTTTGAGGACTAAGATGGAATGACCCACTCAGAACGGAATATAGCGATGCAAGCATTGCTATTTACCGGCAGAAATAGGTAAGTGGTTGGTATTCATCCAGAAGGTTGTAACCTGGTGTTATATGATTGTTAAATGAAATTTATTAATTTAAAACATGTTAGCCGAACAGTCCTTTAAATTTTATTAAATTAAAAAAAATTAAGTTACTGTGTAAAATATACGTCTCACTGCTAAACACATTACATTTCTAAAGGGATACTTTACCCTCTTGAAAATTGGAGTAATCCCTAGTACGTAGTAAATGAAGGTATTGGAGGTATATATTGATCTTATATTATTTATATTCTTATCACCAGTATTGCAAAATATATTCTTTATATTCTTATTACCAGTATTGCAAAAATAACTTTATAGAAAGTTAAATATTAAATATAAGTTATATACGTATGTTTCCTAAAATACACTTCTGAACACAAATCTATCGATGCTGCACGATGACGTTTTCCTGGCATACGTTTTCAAGCGCGCGGTCATTGTCAGATGAACATTCGCAATTTGTTACGCAATTCATTGACGTAATTCGCAGAATAATACGTCAATGACAAACGTAAGAACTAATTTGATTCATTCATAGATTACTGTATACGATCATTTGAAGATGGACGAAAGTCTTGTGAATTCCATTTTAAATCTTTATAAAAATAAAAATTGGAAAGCGATAGTGTCTCGATATCACGATCATCCAGACAGGAGCAAGTTGTTATGGGTGTTCCCAACAGAGGAGAATTTTGCATTTCTACGTGATAGTGTGTTAGATTTGGGATGCGACGGAATCTTAAGCATTGGATGCGGAAGTGGTTTATTAGAATGGATGATAACCGAAGCTACAGGTAAGTGTTTCAAAGGAGTACTGTAAGTAAAAAAAGTAACATTAGCTCTACTGTCTATGAAAACTATAAATTTCAGAAAATTACTTTTACTGAAGTTTTTTTTTTAGTTTGAATGTGTAATTCGTAGTTCATTTAAGGGTAGTGTTAGTGCTTAATGTGGCTCCAATCGTAAAAAAAAAACCTTAACCTGGACAAATTGTTTTCGGAAGGAAGTATTATGTAAACGTAGTGGTTACATTATCTTTAGGATATAATACGTATACTCCTAGTACCAAAGGGAATAATTTAATAAACCCCATTTCAATATATGAGCGAGATGCGAAACGGTGATAGGTCTAAACAGTAAAGCTCATCGCCGACAGTAAATCTCATCGCGCCCGTGGTATGTACCACTTCACCCGAGATTATTTCCAATCTCATCGGTCCTCAAATATGAGTGAATTAAAATAATCTATTTATTATAATTTCTTTCGTTAAGAATATGTACCCAGTATATTGATTCGCGTAAATTTGCCGTAATGTGTCCTGCAACCGCGCTGCTTTTTTTTTATAGCATAAGAGTGACGAACTAGCACATAGTCCACCCGATGCTATGTGTATACTGTGTCCGCAAGACTTCTTCATCTATCCTCGATTAAGAATCAAAATGCAGATGTGCTGACCCCTGAGGACTAAGATGTAATGCCTCCTTTCCAGTAGGTATTAAGGGTCCGGTTCTCTACGCTCACCATACGAAACAGCAGCATTATGCTGCTGTTTTCGGCTGGTATTCTGTAAGAGCGTGGTCCTTTCAACTATAATATCGCTACAGTATGGCTCTACCAAGTGATATCGGTTCGGATTTCCCGTATCGCCTTACCTTAACATTTCACAAACGTGTAAAATAGATAAGAATAGCAAATATATGTATATAATCGCAACTTTGCTATAAACTTTTTTTTACAGAGAGAAACTAGCACACAGTTCACACTGATGGTACTATATATAAAAAAAGTTACAGCCTATTTACGTCCCACTGCTGGGCACAGGCCTCCTCTCATTTCTGAGAGGGTTTTAGGGCAAGGAAGTGTCTGTATATATATATGAAATGGCCGCCACACTGCCCCAATGCGTGTTTGCTAACTTCACATGTCTTCGATGCAGGTTTCTTAACGATGTTTTCCTTCACCGTCGAGCTCGTGGTAAATCAGCACTTAAAATTGCAATTAACAATTTCATTGGTGCCGGCGGGGATCGAACCCGGGTTGCTCGAGTACTGTGAAGCTTACAGCGAGCGCTAACCGTTTGAACTACCACGGCTCTCAAGGTACTATATCAGGAATCAAAATGTAGATGCATTATCGCCCTTAACCTCTAAGGACTAAGATTCAGTAAAAATGGGTCGCCGATTCTCGCCACTTACCATACAAACGAAACACACCAGCAATATCTGCTATTCCAAGCTGTTATCGTGTGCAAGCGTGGTCCTTCCTTGGTCGAGCCGATCGAGTCATGTGATCACGGTTTCAGATCTCGGGTCGGTCTAAAAAAATAAGTTATTGAGTTTTTCAGTCAAGAAATTCTCAGTAGCTGCCCCGAGTTAGAAAGTTGGGCGGTGTTTCACCTCCGTGTCTCGAAAAGCACGTAAAGCCGTTGGTCCTGCGCCTGATCTCCCTCCGGTCGTGTCGGTTTACCATCCCATCGGACTATGAGAGCGGGGTAATATAGAGAGTGCACTCTCTCTATTGCTTGCGCATACACTCTGGCACTATAATCTTGTGCTGCGGCGATGACTAACCTCCGCTGAGGCTGGCCGCTGTGACCGAAATTCGGTCTGGACGACGTTTTTAAATAAAACTAATTTTACGGATTTTATCGCGTATATTTACTTATTTTTATATTCCCTACGTTTCGGGTGCTTTCCAGCACCCGTGGTCACGGGGGACTGAGGTGTTTGACGTCCTGCTGTCACAGTTAGCCCGGCTACCTTCAGTTTTTTAATATTAATTTTTGGTTCGATTTACGCAGAATGAGCTTACAGTATCTTGAAGTCTAGCAGTGGTATACTTGGATTTGAATTTGATTTTATTAATTATGGGATCCCAAGCAGATGGCAGCACCCATCCATCTTCTCTATTGAAATTAGGATGTTTTTTAATTTCAATAGCCTTGCGAATCATCCTTGGGAGGAATCGGTGTTCTTTTGCGAGGATTTGTGGTCTATCAAATCTAATGTAATGGCGGGGACGATCTTGAACATGTTCACAAACTGCAGACTTCCCGATACGTCGGTGCTTCACGTCAGCTATATGTTCTTTAACGCGGGTTTTAATAGATCTTTTTGTTTGTCCTATGTACGAGAGACCACATTCACAATCCCTCTACAAGATGCAGGAGTGTACAAGCTACAAGTTCTTTCTGATCGGCTCGATACACTGGCACTGCGTAGAGATGTTGCATCTCTTTGCGTATTTTATCGCATCTATCACGGGGAGTGCTCTGAGGAATTGTTCGGACTAATTCCAGCCGCTCAGTTTCACAATCGCACATCGCGACAAAACTCGCGTTTCCATCCGTACCATCTGGATGATTGGCGGTCCACCACTGTGCGATTTAGAAGAAGTTTTCTCCCTCGCACAACTTCCTTGTGGAATCAATTACCACCAGCGAATTTTCCGGACCGATACGACTTAGGAACCTTCAAGAAAAGAGCTTACACCTTTCTAAAAGGCCGGCAACGCATCTGCAATTCCCCTGGTGTTGCGGTTGTTCATGGGCGGCGGTAGTCACTTACCATCAGGTGAGCCGCATGCTCGTTTGCCCCCTCTTCTATAAAAAAAAAGAGAAGATGGATGGGTGCTGCCATCTGCTTGGGATCCCATAATTAATAAAATCAAATCCAACCCCAAGTATACCACTGCTAGACTTCAAGATACTGTAAGCTCATTCTGCGTAAATCGAACCAAAAATTAATATTAAAAAACTGAAGGTAGCCGGGCTAACTATGACAGCAGGACGTCAAACACCTCAGTCCCCCGTGACCACGGGTGCTGGAAAGCACCCGAAACGTCGGGAATATAAAAATAAGTTAATATACGCGATAAAATCTGTAAAATTAGTTTTATTTAAAAATGTGTAGTGTTCGCGTAAATATAAGAAATCATTCTGGACGACGTTATTATACGTTGCATTTATCACCTATTTAACTTATTGTTATAATTTATACATAAACTAGAAACCCGCCTTTTGTTAAATTTAAGGCGTTTAATATACTTATGCATTAATTGTAAAATATTTCATCGTTTTCAGGTTTCCCAGTATCAGGGATAGAAATAGATGGAGCCTGGTGGCACTGCAAATACGCCCCACCAACGTTTATACCCCTAATTTTAACAACACCCACATTAAATAGCAGCACTATCAGTCTTTTGAGAGATGCAAAATCAGTTGCTTTGCTATTCTGTTATTTTAATAATGGACCGGCATTTGCTGAATATATCAAACATTATTCCGGCCCTGTAATAGTTATAATTGGTCCAGGGTGCGGTAAAGGTGTTCACACAGACCCAACTCCATTTGAGGATTTAGGGGAAGAATGGAAAATGTACAGATCGCAGGAGATTAGAGATAGTCAGGATTATATTGCTATTTATCAACGGAACCAAAACATAAAGTAGAATTCCATAGATATATACTTAGAAAATAAACGTTATAATTATTTGCATGTTTAATCGCGTATCTTCGCTGGCCTTTAATTAACATGACGTGTATATGTTATGGACTAAGTGATAAATCAAGATCAAGGCACTATTTATAATGGCCGGGCAATATGAATAATGACAATTCAAACCGGGCAATGTAATTAATACTGATTTAATCTTAATTATTTATCACATTATCTGGTCATTATAAATATTATCAAAATTAACAAAACTAACCATGTTAATTACTTACTTTTAATACAATAAGTTAATAATGTACCAAATCTGAAGAGTTCACAAGTGTAAAAATGTTGAAGAAGGGAAAAACCACTTTGCAATATCAAATAGTAGCTTTGTTGTTCAAATACATAACAAAACAAATAAATAATACCTTTGATTAAAAACTTTATTTTCATTGTGTTTAAGTGTTAAATGTGTCATCAAAAAAACCTAACCTAAAAGCTTTTTTTTTAAAAGTTACTTTGCAAACATCCGCTTTATTATATTTCTATATATATTTCCGCAAAGTAACGCCTGATTCTATTAATTAAACCTAACCTATCTTCTTATTACTCTATCCAATAAGTAACGGACTTAGCCCGGTAAATTTAATTATTTCAATAATCTTTATCACGTTGCCTACTTTATTAATTTACGTGGTAAAGCCACGCTGCAGCTATATTATGGTTGTAGTACGAATGGGTCGGCTCGACCGGTGTAGGACCACGCTCTCACGGAATATCAGTGTAAAACTAGCTTAATGCTGCTGTGTTTCGTATGGTGAGTGTAGAGAACCGGAGACCCTTTTTACGGGAAACGAGGCAATCCATCTTAGTCCTCAGGGGTGACAACGCATCTGCATTTTGGTTCTTAGTTGTGGATAAAGGTAGATATATGGACCACAGCATCCACTTACCATCAGTTGAACTGTATGCTCGTTTGTCACTTTCATTCTATAAAAAAAAATCGACCATTTTTGTCTGTGGTCACCTACTTAGCAAGGAGCAAGGCGGAAACCCTGCAAATCAACAGGTGTCGTTTTTGGTACGTTCTTTAGCGAAAGTTTTCTCTATTCATTCTCCAGTTATTTACTGAAAACCCTTTATGAAATTATAAAATTAATATCATAATTATTATTTTCACCAATGAACAAACCGATATATTTTATACCATAATGTTATAGAACTAAAAAGAAGATTATACATTACAAAAGTAAACAGATTTTAAAAAATTTAATGCCACGTACCGTTTCAGTTCGGATGGCACGCCAGGCGTGCCATCGATTATTTTTGTGTGTGGCGTATGACACGCGAGTCGTGTCTTTTTAAAAATCGTTATAACTCGCTCAAATTGCGTTTTTGGAAGATTTATCCAGAACAAAATAGTCATTATTTTGCAAGTAGTTCATGCCTACTGCTTCGTTTCTGGATATTTTGAAATTTTGAAATTTTTAGTGATTAACAACCTTTTCTTAACTTGTACATGGTACTCTTTTTACTTTATGGGTTTATAAATCATGTTGTGGAAAAATAGTCTAATAAGTAACAAATAATCGCACTCATAGCGATCGCTCACAAACTCAAGTTGTAAATAAATTTCTGGAAAACAAGTCTCCTGTTAAAAAAAAAAAAAACAATGCGTTTGTCTTATTGTTTAATTTTGCTTAAAATGGTTGAACTGCCGTCTTATTACTATCATATGGCCGAATAGACCTACGAAGTACCATGTGCTCTTGTGATATGGTATAAGGTTTATTTTTGTTTGAAACTGTTCAAAACCGTTCATGCATAAAAAAGTTCGCTAATAAATAGTCTTTTGTCAATCCGACGCCGTATAGCGCCGAGGCTTTTTTCCTTTTGAAAACACTTGTTTTGCTATTCTTACTAATTAGACGTTTTCAGATCGACTTTACTTTTACATTTGTATAACATTAAATAATATTTAACATTTGTAAATATCATAATCCGTATTTTTTTGAAATTAAGGTTCTTGATTGTTTGATATTTACAAATATTATTATTAGGTGAAAATTTAAATTAATAAAAACCAAGGTTTTCCAGGGTGATTTAACTGTACCTACTTATATAAATATTTTTTTTTATAAAACAAAAATAGTACAAAAGTTTTGTAATCTCTGCATAAAAGTCACTTATTATCAATTCAATCTGAGGTAACAAGTGGAGTGCCCTGAAATTGAGGAGTTACGACAAAGACAAAAGGTTCTATTTAGTGGTAAACGCGCAAACTTGTGTCTTCTGGTTATTGAACTTAATTAGATTTAGTCTCCCCAATCCGAGACCTTATCCGGCAAAAACTCGACTTCAGACACAAGTTTGTTCCGGTACTCGGCGACGTTTTCGCGAGAAATATATGCACAGCCGGAGTATAAAGCATCACCAGTGCACGTTACTAGTTTGCAACATATTATTGACTAGCTGTTCCCCGCGACTTCGCCCGCGTGTTATTTTGGGTTTTGATTTTTTTGCGCGGAACCCTATTTCTTTTTCTAAAATAAAAGAAGCCTAAGTTATTCCTTGTGACATCAGCTATCTGTCAGTGAAAATCCCATCAAAGTCGGTCCAGTTTCGAAGATTAGCCGGAACAAACAGACAGACAGACGGACAGACAGAAAAAACTTTAAAAATTGTGTATTTGTTATTAGTAACGTATATACTTTCATATGCATTTAGTAAAAAGCTGTAATTTTGACATTACAAACAGACACTACAATTTTATTTATTTGTATAGATAAGCAGAAGAAACAGGCGTAGGTGATAGCACGTAGCCTTGTGGAACACTAGCATAGATAGGCTTGTAAATTGAGTATACACCTTCTACTACGACTTTGTTGCTCCAATTTGCAAGAAAACTACTGATCTAGTTGCACAAATTCTCGGGAAGCCCATAGAAAGGGAGCTTCGAAAGAAGCGCTTTGTGTCAAACTATATCGAAGGCCTTCGCTATGTTCAAACTAACGGCCAGGGTCTCCCTCTTTGCCTCCGCCGATTTATGAGTCAGGTAAACCAGAAGATCACCAGCTGAGCAACCCCGACGGAAATCGTACTGGCGGTCACTTTTCAGTTGGTGTTCCTCAACCTCTTGTGTGTCTTGTTGTCTTGAAAATCTGGCAGTTCACAATAGTTTTCATTATTTTGGAGAACAAGTTGGATAGGTCTGAGTGGTCGATTTTCGGTTATTTTTTAGGGATCTGATGCACTAAAGCTGTCTTCTTTGAGTTCGGAACTTAGTATAGGGAAAAAAGTTTTAGAAAAGACACGTTACGACAGGCGCGGTCGCAGCCTGAAATTTTGGAGAGGGTCACTAATAATAAAATATGTCGAGTAAATTAGACTTTATTGCACAATACACAATTTTACTGCACACATTATAAAACAAATGAAACTCATCTATTTTTATTGGCAAATCGGGAGATAACATTTGAGACGTCTATCTCTGGATGAATATTTAGAAGAGCTAAGCTGTCAGCCTCTCTTCTAACATGTTTGCTCTCAACCATGTTTTTAAATGTCTTAGCGTAGAAATTGATCTCTCTGATGAGGTAAGTGGTTGCTGTGGCATATAGAGATCTATCTACATCTATCCTCGTTTGTGAATAAAATGCAAATGCGTTGTCAGCAGTCAGGACTAAGATGGAATGCCTTTTTTCCCAGTAAAACGGATCTTCGGTTCTCTACACTCGCCAAAAGAAACAGCAATATTAAGCTGCTATTATAGAGAGCGTGGTCCTTCTCCGGTCGAGACGACCCAACCATGCTACAATTATACTACTAATATAGCTGTAGCATGGCTCCACCATGTATAATTTTTATATTTATTTAGAGTATTTTATTTTTATGAGTAGAGTTTATTATTATGAGTAGAGATCATCGTCGCAAACTTCTATTGTCACAAATTTTGTATCAGTATTTTCTTTGAGCTCCCGTTTCCACTTTGTAATCCATAACTGATACCATGTAACGAGAGTGGCAGCATAAACATTCAAGAAATGGGAACCACATTCTGATACTTTCTTCATATTAAGAAGATCTTCTGTATATTCAGATTTTGGCATAAATGCCTAATCCGAACAGGTTCATCGTATCCGCAGAAAGTCGGTCATGTAGGTCAGTCATTATGCTATCTATCAGTGGGATATAAACAGTCTTCCGAAAATATTCCTCATCACTTCCTTGATAATTATCTCGAAGTCTGTCAGTAATTTTTAGATTTTTGCAATTTGACGTGTACAATTTTGGAGGGGGTCATGTCCGCTGTGACCCTCCCCTTCGGACCGCGCCTGCGTTACGACCGGTGTCAACTAGGGAGTACGTCTTCAGCACAATGGGAGGAACTCCATCAGTCCCATTCGAATTGACGTCTAGAGAGAGTAGAGCTATGCGCACAGAGCGCTGTGTAAACCGTATCATACCGACCTGAAGGTGAAATTATACTTAATTATACTTTTTAATAGTGCTGGTGAAGCACTCCTATTATAGCGTGATGCAATTTTACAAGAGCAACCAAACCAGGCACCACAGATGATAGAATAAAGAGTTCCATTCCCTGAAGTACCACATCAGCGACAGAATCAGGTGGGGATCATCCGGCGAGAAGCATACCCGCCCCTGTCATCAAGGGAAGTATGCAAAAAAAGACCGCATCCTGTCCAAAACGTCCGATTTATAGTGCCAAACATGGCGGCGATCTGCAGAACGCAACCGCGATGGGAGTGTGAGTAGGACCACAGTCCGCCAGATAATGGTCCAATGAGCCAAGAAGGGCGTCGACGGAGACCTGATATCCGTCCGGATGAGAGATCAGCAGAAGGTCCTGAAAATCAGAGAAGGTGCACGAACCTCCACATCTAGAATCCACGTAGGTGAAGTAACCATGTGTCGGGCCATATTCCAAGGCAAAGTCATAAACAGATCTTCCCGCATGATCAGTTATCCGATTCGTTGCGGCACCAATTTTCG